TGTAAAACTTTTAACTTTATACATTTTTCTGTATTGCTTTATTGCATTTAAATGTTCAGTTATTTTTGTTATAAGAAAAAAGTTATTAAACCTGTTATACTGTATTATGACAGCACTTTTTTAAAACTAAAATCGTGATAATACCGTATACCGTGATAAAAGCATTAGTAATTAATCGCAACATGAAAATTTGATACCGGCATATCCCTACTGTGTGTGTGTGTGTTCACTACTGTGTGTGTGTCTTCACTACTGTGTGTGTGTGTCTTCACTACTGGTGTGTGTGTGTGTGTGTGTGTGTGTGTGTGTACTACTGTGTGTGTGTGTGTACTACTGTGTGTGTGTGTGTACTACTGTGTGTGTGTGTGTACTACTGTGTGTGTGTGTGTACTACTGTGTGTGTGTGTGTACTACTGTGTGTGTGTGTGTACTACTGTGTGTGTGTGTGTACTACTGTGTGTGTGTGTGTACTACTGTGTGTGTGTGTGTACTACTGTGTGTGTGTGTGTACTACTGTGTGTGTGTGTGTACTACTGTGTGTGTGTGTGTACTACTGTGTGTGTGTGTGTACTACTGTGTGTGTGTGTGTACTACTGTGTGTGTGTGTGTACTACTGTGTGTGTGTGTGTACTACTGTGTGTGTGTGTGTACTACTGTGTGTGTGTGTGTACTACTGTGTGTGTGTGTGTACTACTGTGTGTGTGTGTGTACTACTGTGTGTGTGTGTGTACTACTGTGTGTGTGTGTGTACTACTGTGTGTGTGTGTGTACTACTGTGTGTGTGTGTGTACTACTGTGTGTGTGTGTGTACTACTGTGTGTGTGTGTGTACTACTGTGTGTGTGTGTGTACTACTGTGTGTGTGTGTGTACTACTGTGTGTGTGTGTGTACTACTGTGTGTGTGTGTGTACTACTGTGTGTGTGTGTGTACTACTGTGTGTGTGTGTGTACTACTGTGTGTGTGTGTGTACTACTGTGTGTGTGTGTGTACTACTGTGTGTGTGTGTGTACTACTGTGTGTGTGTGTGTACTACTGTGTGTGTGTGTGTACTACTGTGTGTGTGTGTGTACTACTGTGTGTGTGTGTGTACTACTGTGTGTGTGTGTGTACTACTGTGTGTGTGTGTGTACTACTGTGTGTGTGTGTGTACTACTGTGTGTGTGTGTGTACTACTGTGTGTGTGTGTGTACTACTGTGTGTGTGTGTGTACTACTGTGTGTGTGTGTGTACTACTGTGTGTGTGTGTGTACTACTGTGTGTGTGTGTGTACTACTGTGTGTGTGTGTGTACTACTGTGTGTGTGTGTGTACTACTGTGTGTGTGTGTGTACTACTGTGTGTGTGTGTGTACTACTGTGTGTGTGTGTGTACTACTGTGTGTGTGTGTGTACTACTGTGTGTGTGTGTGTACTACTGTGTGTGTGTGTGTACTACTGTGTGTGTGTGTGTACTACTGTGTGTGTGTGTGTACTACTGTGTGTGTGTGTGTACTACTGTGTGTGTGTGTGTACTACTGTGTGTGTGTGTGTACTACTGTGTGTGTGTGTGTACTACTGTGTGTGTGTGTGTACTACTGTGTGTGTGTGTGTACTACTGTGTGTGTGTGTGTACTACTGTGTGTGTGTGTGTACTACTGTGTGTGTGTGTGTACTACTGTGTGTGTGTGTGTACTACTGTGTGTGTGTGTGTACTACTGTGTGTGTGTGTGTACTACTGTGTGTGTGTGTGTACTACTGTGTGTGTGTGTGTACTACTGTGTGTGTGTGTGTACTACTGTGTGTGTGTGTGTACTACTGTGTGTGTGTGTGTACTACTGTGTGTGTGTGTGTACTACTGTGTGTGTGTGTGTACTACTGTGTGTGTGTGTGTACTACTGTGTGTGTGTGTGTACTACTGTGTGTGTGTGTGTACTACTGTGTGTGTGTGTGTACTACTGTGTGTGTGTGTGTACTACTGTGTGTGTGTGTGTACTACTGTGTGTGTGTGTGTACTACTGTGTGTGTGTGTGTACTACTGTGTGTGTGTGTGTACTACTGTGTGTGTGTGTGTACTACTGTGTGTGTGTGTGTACTACTGTGTGTGTGTGTGTACTACTGTGTGTGTGTGTGTACTACTGTGTGTGTGTGTGTACTACTGTGTGTGTGTGTGTACTACTGTGTGTGTGTGTGTACTACTGTGTGTGTGTGTGTACTACTGTGTGTGTGTGTGTACTACTGTGTGTGTGTGTGTACTACTGTGTGTGTGTGTGTACTACTGTGTGTGTGTGTGTACTACTGTGTGTGTGTGTGTACTACTGTGTGTGTGTGTGTACTACTGTGTGTGTGTGTGTACTACTGTGTGTGTGTGTGTACTACTGTGTGTGTGTGTGTACTACTGTGTGTGTGTGTGTACTACTGTGTGTGTGTGTGTACTACTGTGTGTGTGTGTGTACTACTGTGTGTGTGTGTGTACTACTGTGTGTGTGTGTGTACTACTGTGTGTGTGTGTGTACTACTGTGTGTGTGTGTGTACTACTGTGTGTGTGTGTGTACTACTGTGTGTGTGTGTGTACTACTGTGTGTGTGTGTGTACTACTGTGTGTGTGTGTGTACTACTGTGTGTGTGTGTGTACTACTGTGTGTGTGTGTGTACTACTGTGTGTGTGTGTGTACTACTGTGTGTGTGTGTGTACTACTGTGTGTGTGTGTGTACTACTGTGTGTGTGTGTGTACTACTGTGTGTGTGTGTGTACTACTGTGTGTGTGTGTGTGTTCACTACTGTGTGTGTGTGTGTTCGATACTGTGTGTGTGTGTGTTCGATACTGTGTGTGTGTGTGTACTACTGTGTGTGTGTGTGTGTGTTCACTACTGTGTGTGTGTACTACTGTGTGTGTGTGTGTGTGTGTTCACTACTGTGTGTGTGTGTTCACTACTGTGTGTGTGTGTGTGTGAGTGTTCGATACTGTGTGTGTACTACTGTGTGTGTGTGTGTGTTCAATACTGTGTGTGTGTGTGTGTACTACTGTGTGTGTGCACTTGGATGGGATAAATGCAGAGCACAAATTCCGAGTATGGGACACCACATGTCACTTCACTCACACACTCACTCTCACTCACTCGCTCACTCACTCACTTTAATTGATTTTAATTTACTTTCTTTATGAATTGAGGAGATTTTTAATTGGCGAGCACTTTTTGATTATTTTTTATCGGATTTATAATCAAGCCTTAGAACTGTGAAGGCCCTATTCATTTCTCCTCATTGTTCATTTATTTACATTTATTTTAAAAACACAAAGGCTTCTACTTTGAACCTGATTAATGTTCATTTATTTTTAACACCGTTAATGTTTAATTTTTTAACAATTCTACTTTAGTCATTTTATAAAGTGCATTCAGTCCTCTAGATCAGGGATTGTATATTTAACTCAATGTAATGATGAAGAGTTTGGTTTTATTATATTTTGAAGACAGAGCGCATTTACATGAGAACGAGCAGTTGTTAAAACAGCTCTCATTGTCGTCATGTATTATACTTCTCCAATCAATTTTATTAATAAGCAAATTACGGCCTTAGCTCAGATGTTACCAGTGTACAGTGTAAAATCTCCAAACCTGGCTAGACAGCATAACAGTATTAAACCCAGAATTGCATGAACCCAAGGTTTAATATGACCGTGTGTTAACAGCGTTAGAGAGCCTGAGTCAGTCTTGAGTGTTGGAGCTGTGATGAATGATTAGCTCTCATACGCTGTGAGTCAGGTGCTTCTGGGCTGCTGTAATGGAGGTGCTGTGGAAGGAAGGAAGGAAGGAGTCAGTGTTTTTCAGCTCTGCTGACAGAGACATTCAGCTCAGCTCTCTCTGCATTGCTTTCTCTGCTCGCCCAACCGTCATTGTCTTGTGTGTTTGTCCTGTACCTGAGTGAATCTGACCCTCTTCTGTTTTCACAGGCCCTGCCTGAAGATGAACGTCCTCAAAGACAACAAAGACTTGGCCTGTTTCTACACAACCAAACACTCCTGGAGGGGGAAGTAAGTGCCTCATTCCTCTCTGTTACTATGAGACGCTTCATTCAGACGGACCTCATGTTCCAGATCTCAGGCTTGAGTGAGATTTACCACTGTCAAGATTATTCATTGACTGACAGCTTTTTTATTGTCTGGCATTTTGCATCATTTTACTGCTCTTAAATCCTATCAGTGATCAATCCTGTTCCCTCAAAGCACATCGCAGATAGCCTCAGACTCGAGGGCCGCTCACAGACTCTCACTTCTCTCTTTACAAACACTAACTTTCACTTATGCCGTTCCAAACCTGTATAACTTACTTTCTTCTGTGGAACATGAAAGTAGTTATTTAGAAGGATGCTCACACTGCTCTCTTACATACAAATATGGCACATCAACATGTTACACACAGTTTGATGTCATGTCTATCTGTTTGTGTTGTAATTGATCACAGTGTGCACTCCCAATGCCAAACTCCCAATGAACAGCAAATCATGCCATGACTGTATGATGCATGTATGATGTGTGGAGGTCGAGCTGAATGAGAATCCACAGGTAATAACTCCAGATGCAGTAATTAATTAGCCATGATCTCGTTAAGCCGTCACTCTCTTGTGTGTCTCACTCTTTAACTCGTAATCATTAGCTGTGCTTATAGGATGTGATGGGCAAGAAGAAGATGTAAATGTTAGGGTTATAATTGTGTCCTTGTTTCATTCAGACTTCTCAATGTCTTGGTTGTTTTTGCAGTGTTTGTGAGGAAACTGGTCTGTATTTTCTCTTAATCATGTGACAGCAGCCACTAAGAGTTTATTAGATTTACTAGAAAGCTTCTCGCTGATGTGCACGAAGACTGAACACACACGCTCACACACTCACTCACTCACACACACACTCACTCACTCACACACACACACACACACACACGCGCACACTCTCTCACACACACACACACACACGCGCACACTCTCTCACACACACACACACACACGCGCACACTCTCTCACACACACACACACACACGCGCACACTCTCTCACACACACACACACACACGCGCACACTCTCTCACACACACACACACACACGCGCACACTCTCTCACACACACACACACACACGCGCACACTCTCTCACACACACACACACACACGCGCACACTCTCTCACACACACACACACACACGCGCACACTCTCTCACACACACACACACACACGCGCACACTCTCTCACACACACACACACACACGCGCACACTCTCTCACACACACACACACACACGCGCACACTCTCTCACACACACACACACACACGCGCACACTCTCTCACACACACACACACACACGCGCACACTCTCTCACACACACACACACACACGCGCACACTCTCTCACACACACACACACACACGCGCACACTCTCTCACACACACACACACACACGCGCACACTCTCTCACACACACACACACACACGCGCACACTCTCTCACACACACACACACACACGCGCACACTCTCTCACACACACACACACACACGCGCACACTCTCTCACACACACACACACACACGCGCACACTCTCTCACACACACACACACACACGCGCACACTCTCTCACACACACACACACACACGCGCACACTCTCTCACACACACACACACACACGCGCACACTCACACACGCGCACACTCTCACACACACACACACAGAGGAAGTCTGTTATTGGTCCGTTCCGCTGGACTCGATGTGGATGGCTCTGAGAGCTTCATTTCCGACAGACGTGGAGTAAATTATGCAACAACTGACAGCAGCTCTGAAATGGTGGCCTGATTTCGTCAGAAGGACGGTAGTAGATAGTGTGAAGAGAGTTCAGCCAAAAATAATTGTAGTTATGTGCTCACCCTCATGTCGATCCAAACATGCATGACTTTCTTTATTCAACGAAAACACAGAAGTAGATCTTTCAAAAATGTTTTAGAATTATTTTGGACCCCCCTGACTTTCTTTGTGTGGACAGAAACACTGGGACTGTGAGAGTATGTGAAGAGTTATTTAGGTATCAGTTTCCTAATAAAAGGAAAGTACCACATGTGTGTCATGTAGCTGTTGAAATGAAAAGAGAGGCCAGAAATGAAAGCAAAACGAGCCCGGACACGTCCACTGAGCCGATCTGCGCTCTGTAGAGCTGTGTTATACTGTGAGCTGAGCTGATTTCTGAGGTTCTTATGCTGCTCTGTGGGTCTCTCACACTGCTGTTGATCTCCGCTTCACTCGAGAGCGTGTGTGTTGTGTGCTGCATTACTCTTCACTAGCACACCAGACAGTAAAACCAAACTGGAAGAATTATAGGTCTGATTTTGTTCGTGTTGTAAAGCTGTAGACTTTGTGATTTCTTTCACAGCACTAGACGTGTAAAGAGATTCCTCCAGCTGTGTGTTTCACGCAGTTACGTCATCTGCTGTGATTCAGAGAGCAGCCAGGTGTGATTCCTCTGGAGCAATGATCTCATTCATGTGTTCTCACCTCATCTGAGCTGATGATGGAGCTTTGGACAATATCAGTTAACAGAGAACGGCTCAGTTTCACATTGCATGCTTGTCTTTTTGTCAGGTTGTGCTGTTTGCAGACTGTGGTCAAAAACTCAAGGCTTGATTGTGACATTGGAACTTCTTGACCTCAGTGTTGAGTTCCTGATTTCATTTCTTGTTTTAATCCAGTGTCTTCACATACAGTAGCTGTATGTGTACTAATCTGTACAGCATAATATGCATTATACACTGTATACTGCCTAGTATTTTTAATTGTATACAAAAAAGATTATTATGCAAAAAGCATTTCAAACTGTTTTGAAGCTATGTTGTCACATGACTTCATGATGTTCTGTATTTCATTCAGCAAGTGGAATCCAGTCATTATTAGGGGTGCTCCCATCAGGATTTTTGACCACATACACCGATCTTTTTAAAGCCTTCTTTTTATCATTTATAACTATTTATAGTGATACTCCAACCAGGGTTTTTAGACATTTATTCAGGGCCTGAATTTCGTTTTTGTAAATGTGGGGAATTCCTCTCTTAGATGACTCTTGTGAGAGAAGCAGCTTTCACACAGGAGTCCGCTACTGATCCGTGTTTACCACAAACACAACATTTATCCATTAGTTTGATTTCAAATCCAAACACTGTCACTGTCACTGAAAATGCTTTTTCAGCATTGCAATTCTTTTTTACACAGTACAGTAATACAATCTTTCACAGATGTGTTTAAACACAATAAATATAAGCAACACATTATTCAATGCTTTTTACTTTTGCACTTACTTCTAGATTTATATATTAAGTTGCTCAAGCAAGTGGCAAAACATTTAAACTACTTTTCTTACGTTATCACAAACTTACCATTGACAGAACTAGTCAGCTCTTCTGCCTTTCCTTTTGCATTGAACTCTTTATTACAAGCAATCCTGCGGTTCATAAAGAACTTAGTTTTCCTTCCTCCACGAGTGCATCTATTATTGCCTTGTTTATTTAAAAGTGCTCTTTTCCTTTAAAACTAGCCAACAAGCCATATGTGTTGACTGTGAAAGACCGTATACTTTAATTATATGCATTTATTTTCGTTTTCATATTTACTGCAAACAATGCGCTGTTACTTTAATTCAGCGAGTTTAATAGACTCGGTGCAGAAACGATCTCGGCACTGCTGCAGACGCACCGCTCCTGAACACACTGCCGGACCACAACCGTGTGCAGTGAACGCTTTAATCCGTTAACATGAGCGCGGAAAAAATACGCACCACATACACACTGCAAACGGAGTAATGTGAACCTGGCGTTATGTGTGTGCGCTTGCGAGTGTGCATGAGCGCACGGTCTCCAGGAGAGTGTGCGAGCGCTGAATGGTTAAAACTGGAAAGAATTAAAAAGTAATGCAATTTATAAACTTTAGTGATGATGTGACACTGCCTCGATTGTGCAAGTGACAATTCCTCTGTCAACTGTGCAGCGTGCAGCTCGCTTATAGACAGACGCGATGTGGTGATTTGAAACCATTTGCGTATTTTGAGAGAGAAAGAGAGAGCACGCGGTGATTCACTCACGCTGTTTGTGAAATTACGTCTCATACAAGGTTTTCAAATTACTTTGTTATTTAATGAAGAAATATGAAGGTGAGTACCTCACCTTCATCATTATAATAATTTCACCCGCGCCGGACAGAGACTGAGATGGTGCCGCTGCATGTCGTGCCAAACCTCGTCAGCTCATCAAAGCGTCATCAGCTTGAGATCGGTCGATAGTGATCGGTAGCCGATCAATCGGAGCACCCCTAGTCATTACCACTGAAATTACAAATGCTGTTATGCATTTTTGATTCTGTGTAAAGTCGTTATTAATGAAATAATGAAGCAAGAATCTGACACGATTTCCAAAAAAAATAAAAAATCTCCTTGCTTCACATGGAAAGGTTAAGTTGTGCACCAAGTGTGGTTGTGCATTTCTGATGTGTGTAGTATTCTGTGTGTGTGTGTGTGTGTGTGTGTGTGTTGTGTGTGTGTGTTGTGTGTGTGTGTGTGTGTGTTGAAGGGAAGTTGTTAAAAGCCACAGATGATGAATAATTAAGCGGTCTTGTGACAGCTCTCAGCAGGCTGTTTATTGTTCTGCAAGGTCAGAGAGAGAAAGAAGTCGAGTGCCTTTAACTGGAAATAATGTCATACTAGTAGGGCTGGACGATATGGCCAAAATTTATATCACGATATATTTCTTAATTTCGGTCGATACAATATAATTCCGATATCGATATGAACACTATTAAGCCTCGTAAAAACTGCCAAGAATGCCCACAACAGATGTTTTTTTTTTTTTCAGATGCTTTTGCTCACCAAGCCTGCATTTATTTGATCCAAAATACAGCAAAAACAGTACATTTTGAAATTT